GCTTCAAAATATGTTATCTTGGCAATTTTCGGGATATTGTAAATGGTGACAGTCTTACCTGGATTTGTCACGTGCCAATCATTGAATGCTGTTTTTAATTTTGGTTTGAATGGCCCAAACACACCCACATCTAAGGGTTGAAGCTTGTGAGAAGTATGTGGTGGAAATGACAAATAAATTATGCCATTTTCTCGGGCGTAGTTAATGGCTGCTAAACTAACGTGACTTTCATGATTGTCGCACAGCAAAAGGATTGGATTTTCTTTAGTACTCAGTGTATGTTTCTTTAGGTGTTTCAAAACTTCGACAAATATTTCAGAATTAATCCAGCCAGTTCTATTTGCAGTCCCAATACTACCTTCAGGAGCTCCTTCCTAAAAATGGTCTTTAAAGTGGACTCGTGGAAACACAAAAAGTGGTGGAATTGTATTTCCGGTTGCTGAGATAATACCACCAAATGTAACCAATTCACCTCGTTCCGCAGACACTATTTGGCCGACTTGTTTTTGTGTCTTTGCAGCTAACACTTTTGGCGTATCTGTTGATATGCCAGATTCATCGAAATTAAATATGCGATCTGCAGTTAACTTGTATTTCTCATACACAGTCTTCAAATTATCGTAAAACTCGTTTACGGTAGTTTTATTGAAAGCGAAACATCTGGCAGTACTAGTATTTTCTGGTTTCCGTAAACTTAAACTATTATTTCTTTTGCGAAACCCATGCATCCAGTCTATACCAGCCAAACCGGTTTGTTCCCAATTTGGTGGATATTTACGTTTTAAAGCTTTGGCATATTCATATGCCAGTTTTCTGACTTGTACTAAAGTGAGCCCGTAATGCATTTTTGAACTTTTTTGAATATAATCATTTAATTGTGTTTCTTCATCACTAGAAAATACTTGGTAACTTGTGTATTTAGACTGATATGTACTGCTGATGGTGCCATCCATAATATCAGGTTGATTTTTTATTTTCTTTACCCGACTTTCCAAAGTTGAAGCCTTAATATTATATTTATCCGCTGCTTTTCTATAAGATAATTTTCCTTCCAAAATATCCTTTATTGCTTCAGACATACTTTCTTCATTTATGCACCTGTCAACCTCTTTCTTCTTATAATTCCGGACCATAATTTCAAAATATCTAAAATAATAATAAAACATAATTAGTACATGTGTACGCGTACGAATATGCCCCTGAAAAAAGCGTACGAATGTGCCCCTGAAGAAAGCGTACGAATGTGCCCCGAAGGGCAACAATAAAATATTTTACTTGACACTAAAATCATGCAGAAATATACTCAATTTAAATACATTATTATCATCTTGATCGTAGTCACTTACCATTAAACAATATCCATATAGAGTTTGACGCCTCGCCAAAGCACGAAACACCCAACAAAATCGACAAAATATTTGCTTTGAGCATGCAAAAACACTGTACGTCCTCTCGTATCGCTCGCGGCGGCCGCACTGGCGGCTCACCTCGTGGGCAACTGACGGCCGCCTGCGCGTACCCACACAAGCAAAGTCGTAATAAATGCACTATTCTATAACCTGTAGTAGTGATTGTATGAAGCTTCTCCGTGTACGAATGGTGCCAATCTTCCCCTATATGAGAATATCAGTCCAGTATAACGAGCCAAAGTAGTAGTCAAGCATCAATCGAAATCCAAAGAAAAAGCCGGGTGTCATAGAAAATCACACAAAATCCAAAACAACAAACTCACAAAACGAACTCAGTCAATTGACCGACAATTCTTAGAAAAAATTCACTGACACCGTATTTGATATTTTAGGGATATGAAATGTCAATTCAACGACCAATCAAAAGCGTTCGGTTCGTTTCGTTTGTGCTAAAATATTATTATAGAAAAGTAGATGATTAATTAAAACAAGAATAATATAAAAATTGATAAATGTTTGGTAACATTTCAAGAAAAATATAAATAAAAACTCCATTTACTGTTATAAAAAAAATAATTACGCTAAATTGTCATTTCTTACAGCATAAAATAAAACGCAACTTAGGGATGCCATAGATTTTTTTATGCAGTATGTGTTGCTACATAAGTTGTAAAATAACTACCACATGATGTTCAAACTAGAAAATAAACATTTTGGGGGCCTCTAAAAATAAAATAAAATAACCATGAATAAGGTTTATAAGGCTCGCACCCCTCCGGTCTCGGAGGGGTGCGAGCGGTGTAGCGGGAGGGCGAGCGAGCACGCCGCGCGCTCGGGAGCGCCAGTCGCCGGTGCTCACTCGCCGCGGTCGCAAGGGTACTAGGGGTTTGCCGCGTTTCGTAAATCACATACGGTATCACGAACCGAAGATAAATCCGACGATGAATAAACCTATCGGACGGCAGGGTAAAGAAATTGTATTCAAAGGAATATCAAAATGATATAAATATACTAAAAACCGTATCTGCCGCAACTGGTGTCTCAGTAAAAACGATACGAAGAATTGTAAATGAAAATACACTACTCGACGCCGGCGCCGCCGACACTGCGGGAACATCTAGGTTAAAGTAGCCCAGAAAAAATCTAATCCTAAAAAGCGAAAGGAAATAGACAGTTTTACCTTAGCTGTAATTAGAAGAAAAGTGTCCCAATACTACACTGTAAAAAAGTGATTCCAAGTTTAAAAAATCTAAAAGCGGAATTAAAAACAGAAGGTGTTATAGATTGCTGACATGAGTATTTGAGAAAGATTCTTCAAGACATGGGTTTTAAATTTTTAAGCTGTCAGTCTTAAAGAAAGCTACTGATCGAACGGCATGATATTACGTCTCTGAGATGGCATTATATTCGTGATATAAAAAAATATCGGGCAGAGGGAAGACCAACTGTTTTCTTGGATGAGACTTATGTAAACCAGGCTCATAATGTGCGAAAATATTGGCAATCAAACGAAGAACGTGGTGCCATGAACGCTATAGGCAAGGGGTGTCGCCTGATAATAGTCCACGCTGGAAGCCGTAACGGATTTGTAAATGATGGTTTACTTATCTTCAAATCGCACTCAAAATCGGGTGACTATCATGGGGATATGAATGCCGTTAATTTTCAAAAGTGGGCAACTGAAAAACTTTTGCCAAACATTCCTGAAAACTCTGTCATAGTAATGGATAATGCGGCTTATCACTGTACCCAAATTGACAAAAAACCTACTATGAGCTCTCTTAAAGGCAACATGCAAGAATGGTTAAAGCGAAAAAATGTGCCTTTTGAAGAATCCGCCCGTAAATGTGACCTTATGAACATAATAGATCAGCAAAACGTCGAGAAGCAATACAGAGTCGATGAAATTATTAAGGCTAAAGGACATACGGTTCTACGCTTGCCGCCTTACCATCCCGACCTTAACCCCATCGAAATGGTATGGGGGGACATAAAAGGAGAATTAGCTAGGACTGCTATAGATTCAAATCTAGAAAAAAAGAAAGAGGTCCTTATTTCTCTTTTTGCTAATTATTCGGCCGAAAAATGGCGTAAATGTGATGACCACGTCGGCAATAATATATAATTTATTCATACTTAGTTTGAATATATCTCGAGATGTATCTCTTGGCATATTCGTACCATGCGGATCGCCGCGCGCGCCCGCTCGTGCTACCGCGTCCCCGCCAGCCCGCGCCTTCCTAAGGCGTGGTTAGCACGAAGTTGACGGCTTATAGTACCATCGGCCTTAGTTACCGTTAGGGAAGGTAGATTCTTTACATCAGTTGTTAATAAAAATAGAAAAATATTAAATTCAAAAGTTATCAAAACTAAATCTTTCTCCTTTAGAGACAGATTACGTAGTATTAATTAATAATATGCAAAATTTTCAAAACAAGAGCGATTACAAATAGATACCTTATTGAAACAAAATTTACATAGGCTTCGAACGGAACATATGAATAGTGAGGAAAAAAGAGAAATAGATAAGTTATACTATAATTATAGAGACATTTTTCATTCAGAGGAAATCCCTTTAACTTTTACCCAAGATATAAAACATAATATCCTATCTTATTATACCAAACTTATGAAAGAATTCATGCAAATATATGAAAATGATCTAAAGTAATTACAAACAAATCAGGCATATTTAGCATTTTTAATACAACAAATTAGTAATAAATTAGTAATATTAGAGCAAAGGTGGGATATCTTGAATATTTACACACAAATAGAAACTTGCTTACAACAATTGTATAATCGCATTACGTCAGTTGAAAATGCAATAACATTTGCGTACTTAGGTGTCTTGCAGCCTAATGTTATAGAACCTATGTATTTGTTAAGAGAATTAGTACTAATAAAAATGAACTAGTTTTAAGTAAATTACCTTTCGATGCTGTATTTGATTATAATTATTTATTAGAAAAACCTATTATTGTAAAAGCTTATAGTACGAATTGGACAGTTAATTTTATATTAGAAATACCAATTGTGTCTCTCCATCCCTATACCTTACTCAATACATACTCGATACCTAATAAAAATAATCTAGTATTAGTATCCTACAACCCTTACCTTATCTTGGGCAAAGAACAGTATGCGTACCCCCACGAGCCGTGTAACACCATCAGCGACGAGCTGCAAATGTGTAAACACCTTCAATGGAGGGAAACAAGCAACTCTGAAGACTGCATCTTGCAACTTGTTCAGCATCAACAACCGCATAACTGCATCTATGTACACGCAACGTACAATAATGAAATCCATCAAATTAAAGAAAATGCCTGCATAGTTCTCATCAAAGGAATATTTTAAGCTACTCCCAGGAATATTTAAAGCTCGAGTGAATAGGCATTTTCTGGGCAAACTCGTCCCATCTTAGGCCTTACGCTTAATATTATTACGCCTGAAGTCAAGAGTGAGCCCGTCTCGGATAAAAAAAAACCAAGAACAGATAGCGAAAACGGTCTGCAAACGAAAACATTAAATATCAACGTCTCACTGGAATAAATATAATATCTGTAGATAACAAATGCTACGTAAATAATGAATACTACACTTCAAACACATCAAAAAAATATAAAAATCAGGGAATCAATCCCGTTACCGGAAGTCATTATACCTGAAAACTACAAACCGCAAATCTACGTCAACCTGAAAAACATAAAGCTAGATGAAGTAAATAAACTTTTAGAAAAAACTGGAGAAATGGAATCCACGGAGAGCATTATATTATCAAGAAACCCAAGTTGGGCCACTATAGTTCTGTACATAATCGCCACCGCATGCATCGTGGACATCTTCATATACTGGAAGAAGAGGACATCACGACATACGGCAGCTACAGCGACCACAGTCGGAACCCGCGAGTCGCCGCAACAGTTGCAGTTGCTTTCCATAGCAACAACACAGAAACCAGCTCCATCGCCGAGGCTCACTCTCAATGGCGGAGGAGTTATATTACCATATAGGCAGTTTAGCCACCAAAATTCGTCATAACTATAAGCTAGGGTAATTAAGATAAGTAGCTCGTAAGTTTCCTGTAACATTTGTTTGGGATTAAACGCCAGTTCCTGCCTGGCTCATTAGAAGTTAAGACGTGTTTTTTTAAAAACCCCGGTCCCCCTGCTGCCAACATAACTAACTCTCAATATTTTAAAGACAATGTATATGTTAAATTAATTTTAAAAAAAAGCAATTGATATTTTAAACAACACTATTGATTTTCCTTTTCTAGACAGTTGATCAGTGCACAAAAAAAAATTAAAACAATTACAGAAACCATATTTTACATATGCATTAAAAGATAAATCATTTGAGGGGTCTAAAAGCAAAAACGCCACTGTCCATTTCAGGTCAAAATAGAACTATGAATGCCATCTCGTGTATTTTTTATGAATTAATAATGTGGCACAATCAAATGACATGCAATGTTGCCACTGTCCCATAGAAAACAGGATAAAAATATCAAATTCATATTCAAAACCGACACTGTCCTATACACTTTCAACTTCAAAACTGCCACGGTCCAAAGCAGCCAATCAGAGGGCGGCATTTCAATTTCGACAATATGGCCGCTCCTCAGTTTTAGTATTGTTGTTGCTGTTAAATTGTTTCGCTTTTAAAAGGTATTTTGCGTTAATATGGAAAAAAATGTGCGTGCAGTTGATTGCCGAAAGGCAAGGAAGAAACCAAGAATACCAGAAAACTGGAAAAGGGCTAAGGAAAAAGTAGAAAGGTTAGTCTTAAAACAACTTACTTTTTTGGTTAGAAGGATGAAAGTACAGTCAGCATCTATAGAAGTATTTAGTAATTCTTTAAGGAAAGGAAGTTTTATTAATAAGTATCTACCTAACACGGTAATTTTACAGTATGAAGTAAAAATTAAACCATCCAAGAATAAAAATACATACAATGTAATAATATAAAAACTTTTTAGGGTCCGTACCCAATGGGTGAATACGGGACCCTATTAAGACTTCGCTGTCTGTCACCAGGCTGTATCTTGTGAACCGGGTTAGCTAGAAAGTTGAAATTTTGACAAATGATGTAGCTATTCCTGTTGCGTATTCCTGATATGTTTTTTTATAAAGAGTAATGGCTCTTGACCCCAGTCTTGGCCAACGTAGAGCGATGACGAAGTTGACGATGGAACGAGTTTTCCTGAAAGATGGCTATTTATTCCCTCTTTGAATGAGATCCGGAAATATAGACAATGGTATATAATTCCAATTCTTTAATAGAATGACAGATTTAAAAATTTTCACTGTGCATGCATTTCCTATAAATTTTTGACAAGCAGTTTTGTTCTCTTATTTTAAGGTATTCAGCAAAGCAATTGCCGTCAGCACCGCAATGCAATCACGCCAATTCATCTCAATACAAATGTGGTTCTTTATCGATGCAAGATATGCAACAATTTCACGAACAGTTTTATAAATATCCAATTAAAAAGGACCAGGATGCGTTTATTTTAAAACATTGTAAAATACAAAAAACAAAACGACGTCGTCCGAGGAAAGGCATCCGAAAACCGACAGAAATCTACACAAAATTGTATGTCAGAAAAAAAAATTCCGCAAAACTGATACCAGTGTGTCAAAAAACATTCCTGGGTATTCTTCAAATAACTGTCCATAGAGTTCGAAGAGTGGCAAAAGAATTTGCCAAATCAGGTACAGTTGTACAAGAAAAAAGAGGCGGTGACCACAGGTCCACCCAAAATGAACCCAAGCTTAGAGCTGTACGGACATTCATAGAAACCTTTAAATGTGTTGAATCCCATTACTGTAGATCAAGTACAATGATCAGAAAATATTTACCAGCTGAACTTAACATTAAGAAGATGTGGAGAATGTACCAACACCAATGTCAAGATGAAAACCTACTAGTACGACACTGTTATTTCCGGAGAGTCTTTAATAGGCACTATAATTTGGGATTTGGCACACCTCGTACTGATACATGTTCAAAATGTACCGAATTACTAGAAAAGATAAAAAACTCACGAGATCAATCGGAAAAATCAAAACTTATGGCTGAAAAAAGAGTCCATTCACTTAAAGCACAATATTTCTATCGCTTATTGAAAGAAAAAGCAGACAATATGATAACGCTATCTTTCGATTGTCAGAAGAATCAGGTTCTTCCAAAAATTTCTGAGCAAACGGCATATTATAGTCGTCAGCTCTATATTTATAATTTTGGCACTGTGCTGTCAATTCCAGACAATACGCTAAACAAAAATAATGTTTTTTTGTACGTGTGGACCGAGGATCAGCAAAGAAAAGGGGCAAATGAAATTGCCTCTGCAGTATTTCACAGACTGCAAAATCTAGAAATAAAAGAAAATGTGGACATGATTCGACTGGTATCAGATGGGTGTGGAGCTCAAAATAAAAATACAGTTATGATCGGAATGGTTGGTTATTGGTTGCTCAGACATGCACATCCGCAAATCAAATCAGTGGAGTTCGTTTTTCCCATACCTGGCCATTCCTTTCTTCCACCTGACAGGGTTTTCGGTAACATAGAGAAAGAAATAAAGAAAAATGAAGAAATTATTGATCCAGAGACATATATTAATATTTTTGATAGATATGGGACGGTGGTAAAAATGGAAGATAAAGTCATGGACTGGAAAAATGCTTTTGCCGGTATCATCAAACCACCTGCATCATGGCATTTTAAATTTGCACAATGTAAGAGATTTTATCTTAAAAGAACAGCATCTAACATTTTGGTGAGAGGCGAAATGCACTATGCCACTGACATGATTGCATACAAAAGCATTCTAAAAAAAAGAAAATCATGGACAGATGTAAACCCAAGAAATTTACAACAATACGATGTTGTAGTTAAGAGAGCTAAAATTTCTGACGTGGACAATTTATTAAAAAAGCATTTCGGAACGGACTGGAAAGACAGAGATGATTTGACCTACTATAAAGAAGTTTTGAGTAGATCAGAAGCTCGGGACGGTCAAGCTGAAGAATATGAAGAAGAGGTTTGCGAAGGCGGTTCTGACTCGGAATTACGAATCTAGGGTATTAAACACTATAATAATAGTATGCTACAAAACGAAATTTGATTGTCTCAGTAGTAATATGATTATAAGAAATACAAATATTAAAAAAAATATTATTGTCACAACTTACTTAAATGTAACCTAATTAAATAAAATTATATAAAAATATTATTATGTCAACTGTACTTCTTTGACAAAATGGTGGTAGAGGTAAGTTTCAAAAGTGACACTGTCCATATGTGTAGTTGCAAATACGCCACTGTCCATTAGTAAGAAACAGAAACGCTACTATCCACTCTATTTATTGGCTTAAAATCTGTTAACATCATTACTTTACTACACCTAATTATTTGTTTTTAGTCAGGAAACATGTTGTAGCAATTTAATAGAAAAGCATGCGACATATATACGTTAGAATACACAATACATAATTTACAGTCAAATGGCTTTCATGATGAGTCAGGACAGTGGCATTGGACATTTCGGGAATTGTACTTTCTGGTAATTGGACATTTCTGGTATTGGATATTTTTAAACCGTTGGACATTTTGGGAATTGGACATTCTGAAATTAAAGGGCGCATTTGGCTATGCTGACTGCATCTTTGGTATATAAGGGATAAGCTTCTACGAATTTTGTGAGTTCACATTACAGTGTAAAAATGTAAGAATAATTAGAGTGTTCTTTATGAATATCTAAATAAACTTTCTCGAATGCAGTATTCGTCGTCATAGTAATGTCTATGGGCTGTTTTACACTTGTGGAATATTTTTGCTTTTGACACTGACTACATTTTGAAATAAAATATTTTACGTCTTTTTCCATTGAAGATCAGAACTAATGTTTCTTTATATTATTTAACATCCGCCTTATTCCTACTTGTTAGAAAATAACTGGAAATCATTTTAAAACGCGTAACGCGTTTATCATCATTATTTACTATACTCGTTGACTTTTCTCAATTTGCGACACTTACGTTTTATGTTTTGTAACAAGTCTTAATAAAGTGGACCTCTATTAGTAGAAACTGGTTGTTTTCATTATACAACATGGTGGCAGCGATTGAAAAATGACTACAGAAAAAGAAACAGTACCGAGGCAGCAGATAATAAGTGTTTGCACTCCGCCTTGTCCAGGCATATTTTGACTTTAAGCCTGAAAATTGGGCTAAATGGAGAAAGCGATTTATGCGCTATCTTACCGTGAGCGATTATTATACTAAAGATGAGGAAGAAAATATAGATTTATTGTTGTATTTGATGGGCAAACAAGGGGCGGAACTTTCGTTGCAATTGAGTCTTAAAAATGTCAACACTTTTATGGAGGATGTACTTAAACAGATAGATGATCATTTTGAACGTGGTCTATGCACGGTTCAAGTTCAATAGTCGTGACCAAGAGCCAGGAGAATCTATTGATGAATTGGTAGGTGCATTATATGTATTGGTATAGGATTGTGAATTTGGTGTTTTGAAAGAGCAACTCATTAAGGATAAAGTTGTTGTTGGAATTCTGAGTAACAAAGCAAGGGAGAAAATGTTGCTGAATATTAACTTAACACTGGAACAGGCTCTAACTGTAGCAAAAAATGTAGAGGTTTATGAAAGGACAACTTTTAACAATCAGCAAGAGGTTCATCGACTAAGGAAGACATTGTATTGGTTTTGTGGAAGAAATCTACACTTCAAAAGAAGCCAGAGCTAGGGTTTCTTCGGGTGAGGTATCGGTTACGCAAAGGGATGTCCAGGTGTGTACCATTAGTAGCAAATATTCAGTTAAGGTGTATGTGTTTACATACAATGAATATAGATGTACTTTGGTGTTTTTAATTCACACAGGAACAGATATAGTTGCTGTTCCAGAACGATTAATGAGCAAGAGTAATTCATAACAACAATGTATGGTAAACGTTATGGTAAGTAAAAGGTATGGTAATTAAGGGAACAGATGAAACAAAATTAGTAGTTCTAGG